ACCCCGTGGGGGGTAGGGAAATGCTGCCGAAAATTTCAAAAAACAAAAATATTGTTTTTCCCTTCACATCTTTTTACTTATTTCTTTAATTATTTTTATTATTTATTTATTTCCTTATTTATTTTTATTTTCTCTCGAAACCTCGCTGTTTATTTATTTTTCTCCCGCCTTCCCCCCCCCTATGCTTGCTATTTTACTTTCTTGATTAGGTCACCGGTACCCTACCCTAACCACTTAAACTTCGATTAGGGTTTTCTTAGGGCTTTTGTAGGGTTTAGGGTTCTTCAAACCCCCCCTACTTCCCCGTCCTCTTCGGGCACCCTGGACCCGAACCACCCCTCCCCCTTTGACGGCACCCGCGCTAGCCTTGCTAGCGCCGTTCGCCGCCTTCTACCGCGGACTTCCCCCTACGCCCTCCGCTCACGCGCCGCTCACGCGCCGCTCACGCGGACCTCTTCTGGCCCCCTCCGGTCCGGTCCGTCTCTCCCCATGGCCGACGGTGTGTCACACGCCGCCGACACGGCGATGACCACGACATCGGGCTCCACACCCGTGCCGGCAGACTAGGGCCATCAGCCCCAGGGGGATCTGCACACCCTCCTCATCTCCTTCCTTGCGCCCATCCAGGCGCAACTCGCGACCCTCGCGCCCTTACAGGCGCAGGTGGCGACCCTTGCCGCCGGCGTGCGGCAACTCCAGGACGCTGGTCGTCCTTTCTCTCCTCACCCTATCTCTTCTCCTGGCTCCCAATCCGGGTTCCCCGTCCTTCGACAGGGTGGCCACAGTGGAGCTTCCTCCTCCGCCGCCCCCGACCCGGCCATCTTGGTGACGGTCCACGCCCCTAGCACGACGGCCGCCACGAGTCAGGTCCTCCCTCAGTCTACGGGCGCACCCGCCCAGACCCTGGTCACTACGGCCACGGTACCACAACCCACTACCATGGTCGCAACTTTTCCGGGTGCCCCATTTCTCCCTCCTCTTCGCACGACCGCAGCGCCACCTAGCTCTACCCCTTGTGGGATGCCTCACGCCGCTCGTGCGTCTCCCCCTGCCACACCTCGCTCGACCTACCTTCGAGGTCTCGAGGACGAGATCGCCCAGCTCCGGACTGACCTCGCCCTCTCACGCCTTCAGCCACCCCCACCCTCATAGGTGACCGCGCCTTCCAGCGCACCCCCTTCTTCCTCTATTCTTCCTTCCATGCAGGCTCGTTTCCCTCGCCCTGCACCTTACCCATCCCCATCCTACCTCCTCCCCATCCCCTGGTTGCTGCGACCTCTTCTATCGCAGCTTCCGTGCAGCCTGCCGCTGTTTCCCCCGCCGTTTCACCGTGCGGCCCGGGCGTACAGTCAACTGCGCCTCCTCCTCCAGGACCTGCGCCAACTTATTCTGCCGTAGCGCAGTCCCCTGCTTACCGTTCTCCTCGCCGCCAAAACGGTGGTGCACCACTCGTCCGCTTGACGGACATTGCCTTGTACGACAGTACAGGCATACGCGTGTCTCGGTGGCTACAGTCTGCAACCCGCATGCTCCAGCTCATGGGTGCCGCCCCCGACACGTGGGTGACTCACCTCTCCACGCACCTGCGTGGCGGTCCTTCCGACGCCTGGGAGGATTTCTACGCATACTCCGTTTGCGCGGGTCGGACTCCGACCTTCATGGATTTCCAGGCGTTCCTCGAGGATCGCTTCGGAGCCCGATATGACGTGACTGACGCCTTCGAGCGTGTCGTCACTACACGCTGGTCTGGCTCTGGTGGCGCTACCGGCCTGGATCGCCACATCGAGGTCTTTCAGGACGCCCGCCTCATTTGTGACATGGCGTTCCTCCCCGAGGCGGCCCTTATCGATCGTTTCTTGGCCAGCCTTCCGCTCGAGTACCGCTCCGAGCTATGGCTGTACGAGTTCACAACGGCCCCGCAGGCTTACGAGGCCGCCAGGGACCATCAGCGGATGCTGGCCCGTCTTCACCCCGCCCCCTCCTCCCAGCCTCAGCGTACCGGTTACGCCTCCTCCTCCTCTCACGGCACTTCCCAACGCCGTTCCCCTTTCCGCGGTCGCCCCCGCCGTTCCATGCAGCAGGGCCGCCACTTCTCGCGCAGCTTCAGTGCGCTCGAGTATGGTGAGCAGGATGCTGGTGCCCTGCTGTCACCAGAGGGTGACCATAGCGCCGACCTCGACCTCGGCGAGGCCGTCCACCACCACCTGGACGACCCTACTCTCCCTATGGCTGAGCGCCTCCAGCTCATCCTCTCCACCCTTTCCCAGGCACGCAGCCGCCCATGTCATGCTGGCGCGTCGCCCCCCGAGGTCCCTCAGGAGGACCTCCCTCAGGGCTTTGTCCCTCCTCACAGTATCCTTTCCGCTGAGGAGCGCGCGGCTATTTTGGGTCGGCGTGGGTGTTTGTGCTGCCGCTTGGACGACCATACCTCCTCGCGGTGCCCTTACACTGCCGCCCTCGACCGCCACTACGCCGACCTTTCCCACCAGCGTCGTGCTTCGTCCCCCCCCGGCGCCTCGCATCCCCGCGGTGCCTCCTAGCCACGGTGCAGTATACACCTGCGCCCTCCTCAGTAGTCGGCTTCCCGACATCTCCGTCGCGGTTCGCCCCTCTCGCTACTGGAGTTGAGGTATCGCAGGACTCGACAGAGTGTACTCAGCCCTCTGTCGCAGTAATGTCTGCGCCCCCGCAGACCACCGTCTCCCCTCCTTTCCCCGCCGCGACTACCGACGCGTCGAGCCATTCGCTCAGCCCGTTGCAGTGAGCACTTCGCTACTCGCGAGGACGTTGTGTCCTCTCTTCTGGACTTGAGCATGCTCTAGGCTCGTCAGGAGCGACTCACCCTCCATGTCGTTGCCCTGCATCGCCTTCTCACCGTCCTCTCTGACCCTGATCGCACCCTCCCAATCATCCCCGTACGACTCGAGACCTCCACGAGGGTGTACTCAGCGCTGTGGGATTACGGTTCTCAGGGCGACTTCATCCACCCACGCGTGGTGAAAGAAACCCGCTTACCCACGACAGGGTCTTCGACTCCCATCTCCGTTACCCTAGGGGATGACAAGACCCAACGCTTCTTCGATTAGACGGTCACCGACCTCCCTTTCTTCCTCACTCTCGAGCCGACTGATCGTTCCCCGGCGTCTCGTCGCCGCCGCTCCTCTGCACATTTCGATGTGATGGAGACGGGGTACGACTTCATTCTCGGCACTATGTGGTCTCGTCGGTTCCGCAGCACCGAGGCCGATTGGGCGACCAACACTCTCGTTCTTAAAACGAAGTGTGGACAGACATATCGCGTAACTTTCATAGGTACCACCGCGACACCACGCCCCGATCCTCCTCCCCCGTTGCTTTCCGTGCACACACCACCTCCTTCTATTACTGTCACCTCACCTCGGCAGTTCGCTCACTTCATCCGACAGGACGACGTCACCTTCTTTATGGTGAACGTGACGGATCTCTTACACTATGATCCACCTTGTCCCAACGCCGAGCTCATCCCTCTGGAGCTAGATCCCCCTTCTATCTCCATGGCTCCCATCTCTACTTCCGTCCCTCCGTCGTCCGTCGAGTCCACCCTGTCGTCGCGCACTGACGCTAACGCGGAGGAACTCGCACAATATACGACCGACCTAGAGCCCGCAGTTCGTGACCTCATTCGAGAGTACCACGACATTTTCCCATCGTCGTTCTCGTACGCTCCATCGTCGTTCTCGTACGCTGGCATCCCACCGATGCGCGACGTTGAGCACTCCATCCAGCTTGTGCCTGACTATCGTGTTCACCACCAGGCACCCTACAGACTCTCGATCCCCGAGGCCACCGAACTCAAGCGTCAACTTGAGAAGCTCCTGAGACTGGGTTTCATTAAACCCAGCAACTCCCCATGGGGGGCACCCGTCCTCTTTGCTCGCAAAGCGGAGGGAACTCTCCGTCTCTGCATCGACTATCGCGGTCTCAACCGCTACACGATTAAGAACAGCTACCCCATGCCTCGTTCYGATGAGTTGTTCGACCGCCTAGCAGGCAACCGCTTCTTTACAAAGATTGATCTTCGTAGCGGTTACCATCAGATCCGCGTCGCTGCAGCCGACCAGCCGAAGACAGCGTTCCGATCGCGCTTCGGCCACCACGAGTTCACGGTGATGCCATTCGGCCTCACCAACGCACCCGCTACCTTTCAGAGGGCGATGAACGACATCTTCAGGGACATCCTTGAGGAGCACCTTAGACACCTCCGCGATGTCCTTGACCGCTTGCGCAGACATGGCTTCTACGCTAAGCTGAGCAAGTGCCGCTTTGCCCAGCACAAAGTGGATTTCTTAGGACACTACGTGTCTGACCAGGGTCTCCACATGGACGACGCGAAGATCACTGCTATTGCGGAGTGGCCCTTTCCCCCAAATCCGCCAAGCAGCTTCGCAGCTTTCTAGGCCTGACCAGCTACTATAGCAATTTCATCCGGGGATACGCTAGGTATTCCTACGTCCTTACCTCCACCCTCCTCCGAAAGAACCCACCCTGGGCTTGGACACCACTCCACGAGGACGCCTTCCGCACCCTCAAGAAGGCGGTGACATGCGCACCGGTTCTTCACCTACCCGATTTTGATCGCCCTTTTATCCTTACCACCGATGCGTCAGACTTTGCTGTAAGAGCAGTGCTTTCTCAGGTCTTCCCCTCCTCTCCTGATTCCTCTCATCCTCGTATCCCTCGCTTCCCACCACCTACCCCTACCACTGCTTCCTGACTGACGCCTACTCGTCCAGCTACTGACGAGCCTTCAATTGACTATTCCCCTGCCATCGCCGAGGACGGCACTGTCGAGTCTCGCTCAGGTGATTGCCCGATAGCCTTTTACTCCCGTCAGCTCCTGCCCGCCGAGATAAACTACACCGCTGATGAACGTGAGGTTCTCGCAGTAGTTTATGCCGCTCGGCACTGGCGTCACTACCTGCACGGGGCACCGTTCACGGTGCGTACGGACAACTCTGTTGTCCAGGCTTTTCTGACAAAACCGAAGCTCACTCCTCGACAGGCTCGCTGGTGGCGTGACCTATCCGAGTTTAGTTTCACCACTGAGCACATCAAGGGTGAGACTAATCGGGTCGCAGATGCCTTATCCCGGCGCCCTGACCACGACCAGGATCAGATCCAGCTCTCTTCCATCTCGGTCACCACTGTCCACCACTCGGTGATCGACGAGTTTCGCACTCAGTACCGCCACTGCCCCGACTATCGCGACATCCACACGACCCTTCGGAGTGGCAAGACCGTCCCGAACTACTCTCTCGGGGACAATGGTCTTGTGTACTGGCACGGTTCACAGGGCACCAGAGAGCCCCGTTTGCGTTCCCTCCACTGGACAGCTACGTGTCCGAGCAGTAGYAGAGTTYCATGACCAGGCAGCCGCCGGTCATATGGGCTTCCACAAGACGTTGGCTCGTGTGAGCCGCCTGTACGTTTGGCCGAAGCGCAAGGACTTTGTGAAGGACTACGTCGCAGAGTGTCCCACCTGTCAGGAGGTGAACAATGCGAACCACCTACCTTATGGTTTGCTCCAGCCTCTTCCTATCCCTGAGGGTCGTTGGCAGTCCATCTCGATGGACTTTATCGGTCCTCTTCGACCTCCGACCCCCCGTGGTCATGATGCTATCCTGGTCGTCATCGACCGCTTCACGAAGCGTGCACGCTTTGTTCCGTGCCGCTATGCCATCAGTGCAAGTGAGGTCGCCGACATCGTGTTTGACCGAGTCGTGCGTGACCACAGCTTACCTCTGAGCATCATATCTGACCGTGACCCGCGCTTTACCAGCCGATTCTGGCGACGGCTCCATGAGGTGTACGGCACTCAGCTTCGCTTCTCCTCGTCTTACCATCCTCAGACTGATGGTCAGACCGAGATCATGAACATGACTCTCGGAGATATTCTTCGAAAGATTGTTCGTGACGACCAGCAGTGGGATCTTCATCTTGTCCACGCGGAGATAGCCTACAACCACGCCGTCTCGCCAGCCACGGGGATGTCGCCTTACTATTGCGACCTCGGCTATCAACCTCGTGTTCCCACGGACTTCCTTCGACCATCACAGATGCACCCCGACATGAGTTGTCCCGCACTGGATAATTGGGTTGCACACATGACGTCGATCATGAGACCGCACATGAGCACATAGCCGCTTCCCAGACTCGCATGGCAGCACGTGCGAGCCGATCGAGGATGGATCATCCATTCAAAGTCGATGATGACGTGCTTATCGACGCCCGCCACTTACAGCTCGAAGCGGACACGCTTCGCAAGTTTCGGCGTCGCTTCTTTGGCCCATGCCGCATCCTCCAGGCCGTCGGTTCTGATACGACATCTAGCCCGGTCAGCTTCCGTGTGAAGCTGCCCGACTACCTACGCCAGGCTCGTGTGCACGATGTCTACCACGTCTCGTTACTGCGTCCTTACCACAGACCGTCTGAGCGTTTCGTTGGACGACCATACGAGCACTCTCCACCCATCATGGTGGATGGCCATGAGGAGTTCTTCATTTCAGACATCATTGGTCGCCGAGTCACCGACGACAACCCTCCCCACGTCGAGTATCTCGTATGTTGGAAGGGTTACCCTGATGAGGAGGCTACCTTGGAGCACCTCGAGCACTTGCAGCACGCTCGCATGTTGGTGCGTGCCTATGACCGTGCTCGTCGTGCTGGGTTCACTGCTCCTCCTCAGCCCACTGACCCTCCTCCTTCTCCCCCGGCTGAGGAGACCGCTGAAGTCGAGCCTGCTCCATCTGAGGCAGACCTTCAGCAGCAGCTGGATGCTTCTGAGCGTCCACAGCGCACTTGTCGTCGTCCTGCTCGATACGAGGATTGACTCTGACTTACCTTCCTACGTCTTTGACTTCTCAGTACTCCATCCACATCAGTTTTGCTACTTCAGCTCGTCGACGTTGCGGCTCTTCCTCGACGGCATTCCGGACTTCTCATCGTGGACGTCATCGGCAGCTTCATGGACTTCGTCACGATCAGCTCTGCTTACTTCAGACATCGCTATTCTCTTACCACTTTACCCTGTACAGTACCCTGCTTGTGTCGCATGATGGTCTCCCTTTAGCCGGGTTCCTCTGAGTTGGGCTCTCCCTTGGTATACGCATAGGCATCGGGA